TTTATATCCTTCATTAGACTCTAAACCTCACCCAGGGAGCTTAGACATGGGCATGGCACACAGTAGGTATGTAGATCATAACAAATAACATTAAGAAGAATGAAAATTATGTGGAACTTGTACATACACCACAAGGCAACTGTTCAAACAGAACAAGGGAATACTGTGGGTTTAAAATCAGGAAAGATGTATCAAGGTTGCATCATTTCATCATAGTTACTCAGTCTGTATGCTGAGCAAAGAATCCAAGACGTTTAACTACATGAAGAATGCAAAACCAGGATTGGAGGGAGACTCATTAACAACTTGCAATATGCAGATGCTTGCTTGCTGACAGTGAAGAGGGCTTGAAGCAGTTAACTGATGAAGATTACAGCCTTCAGTGTTGATGACACACCAGTGAAAACAACAACAACAACAACAATTCTCACAACTGGATCAATAAGCAACATCATGACAAACAGAAAAGATTGAAGTCATCAAGGATTTAATTTTACTTGGATCCATAATCAACACCCATAGAAGCAGGAGTCAAGACATCAAATAATGTACTATTATTTCATTGCCCAAATCTGCTGTAAAAGACCTCTTGAAGGTGTTAACAGCAAAGATGTCACTCTGATGACTATGGTATTCCTGACCCACACCATATTATTTTAATCGCCTCCTATGGGTTTGAGAGTTGGACAATGAATAAGGAAGACCCAAGAATTGATGCTTTTGAATTACAGTGTTGGTGAAGAATACTGAATACATAACAGACTGCCAGAGGAGTGGACAAATCTGTCTTGAAAGTAAGTCTAGCCAGTCTAGCCATGCTCCTTAGAAGAGTGTCAGTACTTTGAGCATGTCATCAGGTGGACCAGTCGCTGGAGAAGACCATCATGTTTGGTATTAAAAAAAAAAAAAAAAAAAAGCAAGGCCAAAACAAGATGAACTGACCTAATGGCAGCAACAATGGGTTCAAACATAGCGATGACTGTGAGGCTGCTCAGTGCCTGGCCCATTGCTATGAGTCTAACAACAACAAAGTAAAAGCACAGTTTTGCTTTGGCATACATGGGTAGCCATGACAACTGGTTTACTGGTATGGAAGCAGCGCAGGGGAGACAGGTGGGGCATTAGCAAGTCTTCAGTGTCACCTTCAGTTTCTACCTGTTGTTGCTAAGTGTATTGGAGTCGGTTTCGACTTAGACCGACTCTGCAGTTTCCGAGGAGCGGCTGGTGAGTTTGAACCGACCTTGAGGTCCAGCGCTTATCCTACAGCACCAAACCAGGACTCCAATAGAAAATTCCCATATCAATTGAAAATTCCCATATTCCTTCTTGCAGCACTCTAGACAACGTGTTTCTTACACTTTGAGGCCACCATAAGGCACCAAGGCTATGGTTTTGTGGCTAGCGGCGTCCCACTGCCTTTCTAAAGGTGTGGTGGCTTGACTATTAACCCTGGCAAACAGCGGCCTAGTTGGTGTTTTTCCACCTGACTCTGCGGGCTGAGAGAGAGACGAAGGGGCGGTGTCGCTGTCACGTGATTCGGCTGGAGTAGCCACCTCCTCCCGAACGGCGTTGGACGCGTCACGCTACGCCGGTCGGCTGGGGTCGGTCAAGGTCTGCGCCTGCGCGGGGTCTGGCTCGGTGACACGCTCGCCGACCTGCGGGCGGGCGGTTACCGGGTGTGGGGCTGGGACGCCAGTGGCTATGGGTGAGTACGATTTGAGAGCGTGAGACAAACAATCTGGGTTGGAGAGAGTGACAGCATGAAGAAGGATCTGGAAGGCTGCCTGCCATGGGCCCTCCGGCGCGGCCGCTGTAAGGGCCTACTCCCCTCTTCTCCGCGCGCCGGCGCGCTGCACCCCGTAAACGCGCCCAGCTGCACGCTCCAGCCGCCGCAGACCCTAAATGGAGTCCTCCCGGCCCGGCACGCGCCGGGGTCTGCCCTTCTCGGTTCCCGGTTCTCTCGTGGGGCTCCCGAGCGACCACTCCCCGGGGGCTTCGGGCCTGAACCAGCGGCCTTCGGCAGGGAGGGAGTGCATTGATTCGGGCGCGCTGGGACCAGGACAGGCATCTCTCGGGTGCGCACTGATGCAGGGCGGAAGGGGCAGGACCCTCCCTGTGTGAGGAAAGGGGCCAGAGTTGTCTTGTCCACCCCCCATTTTACAGATTGGGGGAAAATGGTCGCCTACCGAGCGGTTCGTCTCAGCCACACAGCCTGGCACTGCTTTTCTACCACCCATGTTGCATCGCGTTATTGAAAGTCAGTTGTGCAGGGCCGGGCGGGGGAGGGGTGGTGTTTATTGTAAAAGTCTGTGTCTTATCAATTATTTGGTGTTTAGCAGACCTGAAACCTACATGGTGTATGTAAATGCTTCAGGTATTTTCACATTTTTGGCATGCCCCTACAGTTCTACCCACCTGGCCTTAATTCCCACCTTCTGTTTATCTCCCTGTAAATGGTGAAACAAAGCCCTGGAGGTAAATGTAGTGAGTGACCTTCCAGTTCTACCTTCACTTTGAAAGTTTCCCATAAAAACCCTAGGGTGCTAGGATTGGACAGACCTCGAAGTGGTTCAAGATCACAGGTCAGAAGCTGTGAACTGCAGTCAGCTTTGAACTGCAGTCACCGTTAGTCTTATCTCAAGGAAAGACTTACCTTTAAACAGAGTTGACTCATGGGATCCAACTCTCGCTTTGTAAATGGAAAATACACCCAGAGAATTTTTGTTTTTTTAATCACAGACATTGTTTTATGTTTATAGTGGCAAGGTAGTAACATAACTAGGACTAGAACCCAGGCTGGTCTTGTTCTGATTAGCGCTGACTTATAAGAGTTTTCATCCTTTGAGAATTACAGTCACCTTCTCCCCAGTTTTTTCAGAAAGACCTTTGTGCTTGGATCACATTTAGGTCTTGCTTATTCATGTAGGCTGTAAAATACAGTGAATAGTTAGACTTTATCAATGTTCTGGTAGACCAGAACAGTTTGATGCTTGAAATTGCTTAAAAGACCCTTTCATTCACATTGCTTCCTACCAAACAAGTATAAATGTCAAGAAATGTTGCAATAAATCAAAGAACTATTAACCACGTTAGAAAAGTTAAATTCAGAAATCAGTTTAGTCAAGAAGCGTGGCCACATTCATGGCATGCATAAACATGCTAAATTCTAAACCCCATCGCCACAGAATATTGTGCATGCTTTCCTACCTTTTGTTCCTGAAGGAAGAACCTATTCCCATGTACAGGAGAAGCTGGAGGGAAAACTTTAAATCTGAAGTCTGGGAGGGTTTCATACCATTCCATCTCCTGTGTCTAGGCCCCATCTTCACACACACACACACACACACATTTTTTTTTTTTTTTTTTAACTAGAGGTTCTAAATGTACAGTAACTTAAAACATTTAGAAATGTAATACAAGCAACATTATATTATCATTGTTCAGGGAACAAATAACTTGGTTTGTAGTATCAAGAAAATAGAGCTGATAGATTAAATCACTTGTTACTCATGACATTTTAGAATTTAAATGTATTATGTATTTAGTATGAAGAAATTAAAGGCTTTTGACATTCATAAATAGTGGGGATATTATATAATCATGTGCACATATCTTCCTGTGTTTAATAAGGAACCCTGGTAGGGCAGTGGTTAAAGCATACCACTGCTAACCAAAAGGTTGGCAGTTCAAATCCACCAGCTGCTTCACAAGATGTGGCAATCGGCTTCTGTAAAGATTTACAGCCTTGGAAACCCTGTAGGACTTTCTAACTATTTTTGATGATGTTGACATTGCTTTGCTCTGAAACTGAAGAAATTGTTACATAGGTATAAAGTATTTTTATGCTTAGCTTTTTTTTTTTCTTTAATGTTAGTTAACCGTACAGTAGTAGACATAATACTAATAGGAATCTTTTAAGTTTTTAAAATTTTTTGTTTAATAGCTAAAGTGCTGTTAAGTGCCACTGAGTTGATGCTGCGTCTTAGGGACTCTAGTGCACACTGGAGCTGTCCTGTAGTATCCTACTTTGTAATCTCTATGGAAGTAGATTCCATGGACCTGTTGTCAGGTTTAAACCAACAACCTCGGCTACTGAATGCTTACCCGTTGTGCCACCGAGGTCCTATCTGCAACAGTTAGAAGACCAAGGGTTAATGTGCCAGACTACAAAGCCATTTGAACTGCAAGGTCGGAGGTTCAAGCTTACCAGCTGCTCATCAGAAACCTTATACAGGGGTCACTGTAGGTTGGAATCCACTTGAGGGCACTTAACAACAATAGACTGTGTGACTGGTAATTATCATCCTGCTGTGGCACTGTACAATCAGCACTGGACTGACTGCTAACCAGCAGGTTGTAGGCTCATACCCACCAGCCACTCTCAGAAACACTACACAGGGTCACTATGAGTTGGAATTGAGTTGACGGTACTTAACAACAGTATATATCCTGGCAAAGCTATTTTCAATCATCTATGCAGTATTTTTCAAAATTTTTTCAAAACATACTGAGTCACAAAGCCTAAATTCACTAAGAAATGAAGAGAGGACAGATAACTTTTTGGGACGGCTCTTTTCCCCCTCCCCCCTATTTTATTGCATAACAACAAAACACCTAACTGAAAAATTTTAGAGCACTTAAAAGCATCTAGTGTTAAAAAAAAGAAGAAGAAGAAGAAAGGAGGGGGGAGTAGAATATCTCAAAGGAGAAATGCATAGCCTTAAATTGACACATACAAGTGAAATAAAAAGATACAAATAAACAAGTAACTCAATTTAGAAAGGTAAAGCAGAAGAAAGGAGGTACTAAAGAGACAAGTTTTTAAATGGAAAAAATAGTAACAAGAGTTAGTCTTTTGTAGGGGGAGGGGTTTGTCTTATTTAGGTAAATTGGCTAGCCTCCTCAAAAAAGGGAACACAAATTCATAAAATTTTCTAAAAATTTTTTAAATGCTTTATGTCACTACATAAAATAACCAGATTTTGTTTTTTCTTTAAAAGAAATCTAAGTATTAAAATTGACTGCAGAAGAGAGAACCTAACAAATCAGTAACAATGGAAGAAATTGGGAAAGTTATCAGAAAGCTACCATCCCCCCCAAAACACCAGGCACAGATGGTATTACAGGTGAATTCTTTCACCTTCAAGGAAAAGATAATGTGATACTATATATACTATATATACTGTTTTAGCATGAAGAATGGGCGGGGAGGGGATCAGAGTTGTTTTATAAAGCCTATACAGTATTGGTACTGGGACTTGACAAAGATAATGCTAAAATTGCAAAGTGAATTGGTTACAAATAGTAATGTGAAATTTTAAAATAAAATGCTAGCTACTAGAATTTAACAGTACACTGAAAGACTTTCATAGCTAGGGAGGATTCATCCCATGTTAAAAGGGCAGTTCATTAGCAAGAAATAACTTACTACAAAACACCAAAGAAGCACACCAAAAAACAACAGTAATCACTCAGCTATTTGAATACCTAAGAGATATTTCCAAAAGTTTGTAGGAAAATGGAATTAAAAGATAAGGGGATTTTTCCACAGACTCTGAAACCCCCTCATGCTATGCTTTAGACACTGTCCTGGGTACTTCACATGCATTAACTCAATGAATTGAGCCAACATGTGAGGTAGGTGACATCCTTATTTTATGGACAAAGAAACTAAGGCATAGAGCCCTTGAATAATAGCTTGCTAAATACAAGATTTGAACCTACGGAACTCAGGTTTCAGAACATGTGCACTTAAACATTACACTGGCTCTACTCCAAGATCCATATGATCACTTACATGTTGTTAGGTGCCATTGAGTTGGTACTGACTCATAGCAACCTTATGTACAACAGTGAAACATGCCCAGTCTTGGGCCAGCCTCACAATCGTTGCTACACCCGAGCCCATTGCTGCTGCCACTGTGCCAGTCCATCTAGTTGGGGTCTTCCTTTCTTTACCAAGCATGATATCCT